TTCTTTTTGTCTGTTTGTTTAGGCTGAAGAAATGAATTAACATGCGCCCTTTGTCGAAATCTTTATAGATCACAGTTAACCAATCAGTGTTTATGCAAAAACGCGTAAAACAAATATTGCCTCCAGCCTCAAAGTTTATTTAGCTGTCCTTGCAGACGGTAGCCCAGTTTCTGGTCACGCTCAGTTGCGTTGCGTATCATCCGGGTACTCACGGGGGAAAAAACAATAACAAAGGCAACAACCAGTCCGGGGAATTGCGTTAGATCAGTGCCCCTTTTAAGGAGTAACCCTTCGCCACGGTAGAGCAAAGCACAACCACATTTTTCTTCACAATATGCCATGTATGCATTAGAAAATTACGGTTGTGGTGATTTCTTTTGGTGGCAGACATGTTTTTTGGTGGTAAAATGCACATTTGTATGACACAATTAAGTAAATCAAATAAATGGCTCTAAACAAGTCAGATTGCATATTGCAATGCTCATTTCATAAACAAAATCAGTGTGCTGACTTAGGAAACCCAAAATAGAACAAATTTACAAGTAGTAAAATGGTGGTTTAAGTCGAGTTATCGGCCAAAATGTGTCAAAAACAGGAAAAAATCGCTCAATTTTCATTTTCAAATTATTACAAAACTAAAGATAATGACAATCATGTCTTGTGATATCTTAAAATCTGCCTGAATGCTTTAGGAGCTTATGAAAAATTCCAAGTTAATATAGGTATATTATAATGTATGGAAATTTAATAAATGTGATCCATCCCCCATCCTGTTAAAAACACAAATATATAATAGCATATTTATAAAATTACAATGACTCCACTAACATTCTTGTACACCAAATTGATATATTTGAACACATGAATCGTTTAAGTATCTTACATATATGAGCTTGAGAAATTTGATTTATCCAACATGGCGGACAAAATGGCCTCCAAGATGGCCGCCAATACAGGAAAATGACTATTTCGTCTTCACTAAGGAATGAATGAGAAATTTAGATGTCAAAATATCGTGTTATTGTCATATATAAGATACTTATCGCCCATGTTATGTACTATATAATTGCTGATCATATTGACTTACTTTGAAGTGTCAATGTTAAGCACTTTTTTGCAACTGCTTCAATATTGTCAGTAACTTATTAACAAATCCATTATTTTTCTCCAATACAGTAAGAAACATTTAGTCATTGCCACCACTGCCACTGTCACGCAAGCTTTCAGGTTCATCATCGTCTGCAAAGTTTTGGCAACCAGGGCAGGTGCAGTGTTCAGTATGTGTCAGTCCAGATCTGTCACTGCAGATGAGATAACTGATATATCTGCAGCCATATTGTCGTCTGAAGCATGGCTCTCAACATGAGTTGCTTGAAAGCATCTTCTAGTGGGAACATTGTAGCTGCCTTGCCGGTGTTGGAGGCCTGGACATAGCCTTGGTCATCCAGGGTGTTCAAAAGTATAGGAGGAGGACGAATGCTCTAACTGAGTTTAGGGACACTTCTAGGGGGCTCAATCCAAACTGACAAGTTTTTCCAACATTTCAACATGTGTCAGCAATATGTGAAAGCTGTCTTCTTTGAATTTATAACCAGACATCGCCACAAGAATATCACATTTCACAATGTTCTAGATCCAGAGAATACCCAGTCTTGTTTATCTCAGCTCAGTGCAATTACGCTATTGAAGCTTGGGTCCAAAGCAGTGTATCCTTAAGTGGCACAAGAATGTGAGTTCAAATCTTATCCTTATCATTCTCTCAGCTAATTTGTAGGTATCTAATATGATCTCTGTTTTGACCCACCGACCCCTCTCTATAACCCTCTAAACCGTTTAAACAGTTTTGGTACTTGGTGTATCTTGCTCTGGGATGCTTACAATATGACAGGGGCGGTCGGGTAGCCTAGTGGTTACCCGGGTTCGATTCTCGACATGAAGCCCATTTCTGGGGTCCCCCCGCCGTGATATTGCTGGAATATTGCTAAAAGCGGCGTAAAACCATACTCACTCACTCACTCACTCACTACAATATGACAACACCTACACCAAGCAAGACATTAACCATGTCTGTTCACTTTGTACATTTCTACAATCTTTGCTCGACTCTTGCTTGCTGTTGTATTTATCAAAGCAAAGTGATGAAATATTCAGGTAATCTAGTATTTAATGTCTAAATGTGTTTCGACTGACATCGCACAACAGTTGGCATTTCTTTTCTGACTCTTCTTGACTCTTCTTGATTCTTGATATAGCGATTGTTACGACAGTAGATGAAACGCTCCAATAATGTAATGTCTTTGTTCCGCCCCTGCTGTATCCATTGTTCTGGCCAACTGGGGTTAGTACAGTGACCCTGAAAGTATGCTCTGAAACCCTGGCGTGAAGGTGTGGGGTGCTGACCCACTCCTGTTCCAGGAATAACGTTGTGTAATTGATAAGGAATTGTTCCTAGAGGTTGAGGTCGTCCACATGCCTGCTGTATTCTATGATGAGGCTAACCTGACCCTTTTTGAGCGTCTTTGAGGCGATGTATGAATGGGCGACCCATGGGAATTGCCCTGCAAACAAAATTTAACTTGCCTACAATTGATTGCAGTGTATGCAGTGTAACTTTCCTGCTGGTTGCTGCTGGTATTTGCGACAGTTGCTGGACCAATTGAACCACATTTGTCCTTTGGTAGCCTGGCTTCGCCCTTAAGGGTATCTATCGTAAGGCCAGGACATGTAAGGCAGGTTGTAGGGGGTACTGTTTTCTTGTGTGCAACAGGTACACATAGCTGTGTTGCAGCGGTGTATTGAGGATACCCGAATATGTGCCTTACCTTGACTGCTGCCAGGATAAAATAATTTAGGTAGTGTGTGTTATCCTTGCTCTGTGTCAGATCCAGAAGTGCCCATTCTATAAAGATGCACAACCAAAGGCATTTGTCGAAGTAGATTTTTTTCTGGAAATTCATACCTAACAGTTGAAAATCTGCTGGTGCTACTTGTAGATGTCGGAGCTCATTTGATGTCAGATTTGCATATATGTACGCCCTTACCGAGCTTTCGTATTATGGAGCTTTTGTATGCTGGTATACTGCACTGTGCATACCTCTGGAGGTATGAAGTCATTGACCAAAGAAACCCTATGGATAACATAGATGATGGATGAAGCGGAAAGCAGCCTCACCTTGCAGTGTCGGATCGGATTTCTTTGGCAACCTAGTCAACAGGGGAAACTATAAGGTTATCCAAAGGTCTGTGAGAGAATGGGACTGCTATGCGTCCTAATTGAATTTCTTTCTGTAGTTTTTCCCTGACAATTTTTGGGTGAGCATTAACGGAGTTAAGGTTACTGGCATCGCGTGGTACCCGGGGTTCCTTTGTAAAGTAAGCTAAAGCTGTGACAAAAACCTAGTTTTATTAATGACGCCTCTGCTGGGTTGATTAACCGATAACTTGGTAGCCATTGCTCTAACTGCAGAAGAATAATTGGGGTTGGGGCCTTTCAGTGCATTTATTTATTTTTGTTTTGCATGTCGGTTTTGTGTTGGTGCTTGCATAGACTTGACCTTTTTGCCTCGAAAACAAGATGAAGCTTCATGACCGCCGATGTTCCATGACATGCATTTGTGAGGATACCGGCACTACTGACCCTGTCACGTTAACATTCCTGCCAGTTTCTGCTGGTGTTCATGTGTGCTGTGTCTGATTGATAAACCTTGAGGATGTTGTGTTGCATCAGTTGTTGCCATAGCTGCCCATCGATCATAACCCATGACTGGGAAGGGTCCCTTTTTTTTGTAGAAACTGCAGCAGCGCCGCTGATTGTCTTGACGTAGATGATCAGCTCCTGCATTTTGCTGACTTACCCTATGCTTCACTCTATGACAATGCTGATGTCGGTCAAAAAGGCTGACGTCCAAGACTCGATACTGAAAGGCTTGGTTGGCTGTTGTCTGGGTTTGAAGATAACCTCGCCCAATACATCCAGTTCCATGGTAAAGTTAGATCCTTTCTGTGTTGGTTGGCTATCCAGCGGTATTCATGTCGATAAAGTCGCACCAGTGTATTTTTTCCCTAACTGCATGTTTGACATGAAAACCAATGCTTTCAGCGTTGAAACTTAACTGATGGTTAATGACTAGCTTGGTCACTGCATTTATCATTTGCTGATTACAATTTTGATAAGCTGGGTTGGTTTGGTGAGCCAGTGGCATCGTGACCAGGTTTTGGTGCCCTTGACTAATTAGTTGTGCATTTATCATTTGCTGGGTTGAGTTGTGTTGGGGCGTGGCGATAGGTGTTTGGTTAACCTGTAGAATAAGCATATTTCAGACATTATATTGACATGGTGGGCGTTTTGGCTATACCGGTATGTACCTTTGCTGCTGTCCGCAACCCCTATGAGGGTGACGTTAATAAATAATGCCACAAGCGATATATAGCGAAAGATAGCGAGAGAAGTTTAGCAACGTTGACAAAAGAATGCTGAAAAAAGGCGAAAGTGGGCACGTTGCTTTAGTAATTAATTTGATTTACACGGCAGTTACTATGTAATTGACTTAAATTGTTTAACACTTACTTCAACACAATCGTGTGTGTGAAGCCCATTTCTGGTGTCCCCCGCGGTGATATTGCTGGAATATTGCTAAAAGCGGCGTAAAACTATTCACTATAGCTCACTGTGACAGCTAGATATCAATATGCACCCGATCCAGGAAATATTACCTACTACTAGCACAGAGTTGTTAGCAACTATGACCTGCTACTAGTAGGTACAAAGACGGTCTCTACGTCTCTGGAGACTAACATTTACTGCTACTACTACCTAACAGTAACAATTAAATAGCATAACCATATTAGGATGTATGTTCACAGGGGCGCATTTCACGCCATATTGGAACATGCAGTGTCCAACACAGCATTCAGCAGATGGTAGGATGTCTGTCATCATTTTGTTGTTGTTTTTTATCTCCGGTCTAGACAGGCTAGACTTAGATTTAATATCTTCATACGGTATATGTATTTTATACATCACCTAATTACAATTTTAACAACCAATTAATAGATAGATCTATAGATATATAGTAATCCGGTCTTAATAGAAGATTTCATTCATACATGCCATTGTATGTGTATTTGTTTGATAGAACTACACATATTTATAAGAACTGATCGTTACAAAATATATTGGCAAACAAGGTTAAAATTTGTCTTCGGAAAAATCGTCCCGACGTGGTCAGAAAGAGTTATCCCCCTTGGCCGGCATAGCGATCGGTTTTCGATCAAACATTTATCGGTTAGATCTTGCTTTTTGTTTATCTGTTCTTACTTGTTCGTTGGTCATAATGTTATCTAGTCTTTGTGCAAACATAATTTACAGTCTACAACCATTCACTATGGTACTTTTTATTTTCAGATACTGAGATGGAGAACGTCAACGTGCCTGCTGACCCTGCACATGACGCATGTTTGTATTCTATGTATGTAGGCCTAGAATGAGTGTAGGACTAACATAGATATATTATCGGGGAAGCATCAAATCTCATCTAGATTATTAGTGTTAATTAACTTGTTTTGCTGAAAGGTCTGTGTTCTGGGTTCAAAGTGAGGTCCATTTCTGGCGTTCGCTCCATTGTGAGATAAGGCCCACGCTCTAATTCACTAGTCTACATGCCCTCTTTTTTGTTTTTTGTTGTTGTTGTTGTTGTTGTTGTTATGATGAACACTGAGGGAATATGTAGACATATGAGATTAATAAAGGATCATAAAGATTATTGTGCATCCGGCAAATTTATAGTAAACTATACATATATCATTGATTACCTCCCTTTGCAACCAATATGTCAAGATATCAGTACCAATTTACACATTTTTTTATTCCCAGGGTATCCAAGTGGGCTGTGTCCTGCCACATTCAGGAAATTTGAGGTGCAACCCTTGTAGGAAATCAGGTATGTTGTATTCTACCCCTATACATGTTGGGAATTACATTAATTTATTTTATTATACTAAGGCTAATTTACTGTTGTATAGATTTAGCACAAGCTAAGCACAGGTGCTGTGAACATTTATCTTTATGCACCCCCATGATAAAGTCAGGGATAACAATAGAGGAATCATCATACATCAAATTAAATCATGGATGTCATGATATGAAATACCACATATGTAGTATTATCGGTACCTCATTATATCAGTCTTTCCTCACTGGATCATCAGCTGACACACTGTGATATTACTGAAACACTGTTCTCAGTTGCATTAAGCCAACTCAACCATTCACTATGCAAACTTACTGACCTGATTATGGCAATTGTGAAAGTATTACTTTCCCTCAGACCTTAGGCCATTTATTAAGTTATGAGGTGTGAGTTGGTATACTGTAATCAAACTACAGGCTATCATGAATACAGGAATATCCAATTTGAAGTCAAATGAGCTTATGTCATGGTGCATTATCTGTCATCTGTCCATAACTAACTTGTACACTTTCAAAACCTCCTCTGAATCTACAAGGCCTATGAAACTGAAATCTCAGCAATGATATTCTAAAACATGAGGCCATTTACAAAATATCACTTTTGCATATTACACAGCCATTTCAGATGTGGCATTATGAAACTTGATATGTGTTATGGGGTTTACATTGGTGTATTTTTTGCTTGATCTGGGAGGAACATCTTAGATATTTACCACTTGATGAGACCCACCAGCGTGGAAATGGTGCCGACAAACCAAGGAAAATAATCATGGTAATTATGGGATTTGAACCCATTGTCATAGATTTCTGGCATATGAAAGGGATGCAGCTTAGTCTCTGAAAATGTAAAATATTGATAGAAACATTTTATATTCATTTTAGTTTAAAGTAGACCCAGTGAGATGGGCTGGGCGGAAGGGAAAGTAATATGGTTCAAGGACTGTGAGACAGACAGGGATGCAACTCTGCCCAGCAAATTGAGGTGGCTTCTTGGATGACTGTATTACCTGTGCCTCTATGGCCTTAAACTTTCACATACCTCGTTTTATGAAGTTTGTTTGTGTTTTCAATATCTTCTCTGAAAATCATATTTTCAATAAGCTGAGATTTTGTGTATTTGATCCCACTAACATGATGCCAATACAACTTCAAGCTGTCAAGACATGGCAACCATATTGAACATATACTTTTCACCCTTTAGAAAGCCACTTCTGCATTTACATTATGAAATTTGATATACAGTAATTATTTGGTAAACCCAACCACAGTGTCATATTTTGCAAGTTTTTCTTATATTTGGAACTGCAACATTTTGTCTTCATGTGCTGCTGCAGCAGTCATGATGAATGTGTTCTTTTGACTCGTTTCATTACCAATTATTATCCCCCACAACATGTTTTGCAGGGGTATTAAAATGGACATGGTCAGTCCTTGCATTCATACTTCTGTGTAAGATTTTGAAAAAACGTTTACTATTTTCTTCACCAATCATGGTACATGGATAGGCCTAGTGGTGACCTGGTGCCTGTTGATAGTTTTGGATTTTTGTAAAATGTATCCATTTAGTTTCCATGGCAACAACTTTGACTGAAATAGGAGGGTAGTGATCGTTCTTGGAACATACCTTAAAAATCTACAATATTTCTTCACCAAACTTGACACACAGATCGGTCTAGGGATGAACTGGTGCCTTTTAATAGTTTAGGATTTTTTTTAAATTAATATTTTGAGATGCCACAACTTTGACTCATACTGAAAATGAGGGTAGTGCTCCTTTCTATGCAGATTAAATTTTTTTTACAATATTTCCTTAACAAGCATGGCACATAGATAGGTCTAGTGTTGAACTGGTGCCTTTTGATAATTTGGGATATTTAGTTTCCATAGCAAGTAGGGGATAATGGTGAATTTGTCTTCTTGCATATACTGTCATCCTTTTAATTGGTCAAGATGCTGTGAGAAAGTCTGTTCTGTAGATAAATAGTTTTGTTTCTTTTGCTTATTTATTATACCCTTGTATTGCCTTTTTGTTGTAATAATATATTCCGTGAAAAAGTACAGGGAAGCTACAGAGCCATTTTAACACCTATACCCAGGGAAGTTTGTTAGAACAGTATTTCTGTCAGTCATGTGAGGGGACAGCCAAAAGGTAATGAAGGGAAAAATTATTACATCAGAGCTCCAGATAAGCAGCGTATTTGTGTAAAATACCCCCCAAAATTATTTAAAACCCAATTACTTTCCATTAACTTGTGTACAGAAACGCATGCATTAAATGAAAAACTCAAATTATTAAAACAGCTCGCGTAAATGCCCAATGAAGCTTTTTCAGCATGCATACAAAGGAGCTAATTTCTGAAACACAATTACAAGCTAATTTACTTTCTCAGTCAAACCTATGTATTTAGAACATTATTTCATTTTTTTGAAATCTTAAAATGTTCACTAATTTTGGGAAAGACCCAAGAGAGTGATGAAACGACGAGTGAAAAAATATTGGTTACCGAATGAAAAATGTAATAACCCAATTAAAATAGAAACCCTAAAGTAAAAACTGAATTGCTCAAAAAGTTATCTGGAGCTCTGTTACATGAGTCAGTTTATGGTACCAATACAATGGGCACATCTGGCCTCCATTAGGTTGAATCTGGTAAACTGTGTCTGTGATTTTTTTGGGTGATGACATTGCAGCCATATTGAATGTTATTTTGACCAGGTACTCATGTATCATGGTGTTATTCATTTAACAGGCTGTAATACTATATTTCAATCTCCAATGTGCTATGTTTCAGTGATCATATGTTCCATTTGGTCATGTCATCATCTTTCACCTTTTTGTGTCCTAATAATGGAATGTACCAGTAAGTGTAATAACCTTGTACCTGCAATATTTCCTATGAATCTTTTTGGAAGTGAAGCTATGATTGGTTATATATGTGTGTTATCATGCACTCCAACAATGGTATAAAATAGATCTACTGTTCTTTTCAGATTTCAGATTCAGATTATCATGCCATGGTCATACCCTTTGCATGCACTCTTGTATCTAGATTACAGGTATACTTACACTGTTTGGATTGTTACGGACATGATCCAAGTAAATCAGTCTCAAAAACGTAGTCACAGAATTTGATTCTTAACATTCCCAAAGGGCAACTACATGGAATGTCAGTTTTGTGTGACGTGGCTGATTTGGTGACATTACACCCCAATTACATGGATAGTTGTTAGTGCTATCAACCTCTTGCCTGCCTGGACCAAGCACCATTATTTTAAGTGGTCATAAACAATTCACTCGTTTTTCCTCATTTGTCAATCATTATTAAATATTCATATCATTTGGTGTATCTGAACATTTGTTACTTATTTCTGCATAATCTTGTTAATCTATTTATGATGACCTTTACCAGTATTTAATTCCCTAAAAATAAATTCTGATCAGTTTCAGGCCCATTCAAACGGTTCGTAGTGAGGCATATTTTTGTTTATCCTAGATAACCTTAGCAATGTTGTCATGAAGAGGTTGATGGATGTTTATTACACTTTTTTAACCTTCATTTGCAAAGGTATTTTTGTAGCTTCCAATTCTGATTTGTTCAACTTTAACCCTTTCGCCCCGACTGCCCGATTTATCGGGCAGGATAAACCGTGTCCCAGGACCCGGCTGCCCGAAAAATCGGGCAGCATAAGCCGAGGCCCAGAACCCGGCTGCCCGATAAATCGGGCGGCGCGAGCGTGTTTACAAAATCGCTCTTTCTACTTCCTTTCTCGTGTGTAATCTCGTTCTAAATATGGAAACGAGATCTACACGTATTGACACGTCATTCGATGGAATTTCCCCGTCTTTTTGGCGCGAAAATCGCGGGTATGTCACCTGTTTTCGCGACAGGTATTTTTCTCGCTTGAATCGTAAATCAAGCGTAATGGCGGCCAACTACGATTCGGATAGCGATCAGATGATTAACAACGACTATATCGGGAATAATAATGTGTTTGAATTGAATAATTTACGCGAAGGGGAGAGGGAATTTCGCGAATATTTTCGTGAAGATTTTGACGGTTTCGACGAGGTGTCCCCCCCCCCCCGCCAACTTTCGAGAATGGGAGTGGCAGAGGGACACACGACAGTGGAGACATGAGGGATTTTGAAGAGGCGACCGGATTCAAGAATATATATTGACACGGTGAGTGAAGAGTCGTGCTATTGATTTTTTCCAACTGTTTTACAATGATTCTGTGTTTGAACAGATTATCAGTGCGACGAATGAGAATGCAGCCTACACGTGAACGAGCGATCACAACAACAACAAAGGTGAGTGGCATGACGTATCTGTTTCTTTTTTTAAAAATTTATTTTTCTGATCGCAATCCGAATTGTAGTTTGCCGGTTTGTCGTATGTCCTTATATTTCGCTCAATTTGAATAAAATTTATTTCCATATTCATGTTTGTTTTCTTGTTTTTTACATCTTAATTTAAATTTTAGTAACTGTAATGATTATTTATTTATTAATTGATTTAATAAAGTACTGATTTAATTTATTATGCAATTGTAAATAGCAGTGTATTGTAAATATGTTATCACAACTTGTATATTTGCAGAACTTGAATTTACGATCTTTCCGTCCTTTTACAATGTTTCCCTCTTCAGATCAATCTGTGTTATCTTCCCTGTGATGTCATTCTTATAGTAGCTGTGGTTCAATGTTCAGATAATGTGATAAATAACTTTTTAAAAACTTAAATACTTAATTTTTGTTTCAAATCCTGAAAAAGAACAAAATAAATCAAATATTTGTGTTTTTACCTGTGTTAACGAGTTTACCTGCGTTAACAAGTTTACCTGTGTTAACGAGTTTACCTAAGAGGCTGTAAGTGTATCATAAGTAATATGTGACATCAGTATAGAAAACAAAGTCAGTACCAAGAGTTGTAAACTTGTTTATTTGTTTACAGATGTGCATGAAGAGAATTTACCTGTAACACCTGGGATTACCTGTGCCGTCCAAGATGACAAGACCACTGTGTTATGTTTACCTTGTATCTGTGATTTATTTTTGTGATTTGTAATACAATTTGAGCCAAAATTCATTGTCTGTTTTCATTTTTTCAGTGTTTTCAAGTTTTATTTCACTTGTAAACACCTGTAATTAGAAAATAACAAAGGTTAGAGACAATAACAACAAAGAATATTAAAGTATACTTAATCCTCTTTACAATGGTATATGATAAATGTATATTAAAAGCAAGTTTCTGGTAGAAAAAGTGCATCAAAAATGATAGTGTGATTTTCCAATAATACTGCCAGGGAGGCCAGTGTACAGGCCTTGTCAGTGTCAGGGACTGCAGGGTCTCAAGGGACATAACTCTGGGGCAGCCAGTGATGAAAGAGTTAAGAACTTTCTTCTCAGAAACCAAGGAAACTAAAACTTAATGACACCTGGCATGTGTAGCACCACAATGGGACTCGGATTAAGTTATGTAGTTGTCCCAGTGTTTTATTTTACAATTTGTTCATTCAGTTCTGTGGTGTCATGTGTTGTGTTTATTCTTATGAAGATTTTCATTCTTCGTATACCATGTTCACAGGTTTCACTGTCCAGTTACAAGAAGCCTGGTGTAAATAGCTTGTTTGGTCCAGTTGCACCCAACAAAGGTAACATTGATCGCCTTGAAACGTAGGATTCATGTCTGCATGTCGTTAAACAAACTGGTTGTAATATAGCATAGACTATTTTTCCAGATAAGACAAATATACAAAATAAAACAAAATACTTTTTGAATACAAACAACATGGCCTGCTTGTCTGGTGTTTGTCATCCTGACACAACTATTAGCTCACCAAGGTGAGCTTATGCCATACCGTGGGGTCCGTCGTCCGTATGTCAACGATTTATTCAAAAAACTTCTTCTTTTGACCACAAATTGACAATTAACGAAATTTGACTGGAAGCATCCCTAGGTGGTGAGGATTCAAAATTGTACAAATGGTGGGGCTGACCCCCCAAAGGGCTGGGTGGCGGGGCCAAATGGGGGTAATTTGGCTATATTGCTTTAAACGACTTCTTTATTGGAACTGAGAGATAGATATCAACCATATTTGGTTGGAAGCATTCTCCAATGCTGGGGATTAAAAATTGTACAAATGGAGAGGGCTGACCCCCCAAGGGTCAGGGCCAAATAGGAGTAATTTGGCTATATTGCTTTAAACGACTTCCTCTCTGGAACTAAGAGATAGATATCAACCATATTTGGTTGGAATCAATTCTCCAATGGTGGGGATTCAAATTGGAGAAATGGAGGGGCTGAAATTGCTTCTTGAAAAACAATTAAGAATGAAAATAAAAAAAGAGAAACTACACTCTCCAGGAAGCTGAAACTTAACTTTGTAGAAATGATGATGATCACTTGTAGCTTACACAAAGCGATGGTTCAAATAAGCTTATGTCATGGCTGTGTTCATCTATACTAATGGAAAAAAGTAACTGCTGTGTATTAAGTAGTGTAAATGTTATGTTATTGTAAATTACAACATAATATTTGGTCTTTTGTCTCATCAATGTTTTATCATAACAAATTCCTTGACAAAATCCATTCCAGGTAATTGGAGACGGAGAGACACGCCCCCAAAGAGGGGTGCAACTTGTAGGCGGGCACTATCCTGCTGCAACATGACATTACGTCCCTGCATGTGCACAAAGGCAAGAACATGATCTCAAACGATGTCCTCATAACAATGATGAGTTGTGTTTTCCCATGAGTTGTGATGCCACCCCATACCATTACACTTCCACCCCAAAACTGATGATGATAAGTAATGCAAGAGTTGCTAAAACATTCTGCAGTATGCATGTAGACCTTTGCACGACCATCAGAGCTGTTCAGATGAAACCCTCACTCATTTGTGAACAGTGTACTGTCCCTGTTTTTCTTCTGAACCTCAGATGCTGTCTACACCAAGTGTGACTGATAGTCCTGTGTAAGCAAAATTAGGCATATTGCTGAATGTTGGGACCGGATGTTGTGCTCTCTCAACCGGTAATGTACAGTTCTGCCACTAATTCGTCTTAACCCAAGAATTGTCCGATTATTAATGTGGCAGATGATATTTGTGATTCGATGAACATTAAAAATGTTTGGCAACTTCGTTTTGCGCATTTCGTGTTTGCAACATGTCATCAAGCCGTGACAGCATTATTAATTACAGTTGAACAAAAAGAAAAAAGATTTTATTAGACCCAGAGAGCTAAACAATCATTGTGTGCTGTTTACATTATGAAAACGTGTGTAAATACCTTGCTCCCAACAAACATGCAAACACACAAATTATGCGCAGTCCATAAACATTTGCATGCAAATTGTGAATCACGACCTTAAAACTGAGGAGATGTCTTCATCAATATGCATATTGAAAGATGCATTATTTAATTTCAGATTAAACTTAGTTTTGTTCAATCTCATTAAAATCTGATCTTAGTTCTCGCTACCGCTAACCAAAGATCTGAGGACATCCCATTACGGGTCATGTCGGAACGACCTTTCGCGATCATTGACCGACCAATGAAATGACTGAAATCGACATTTGCCAATCAGAAGGTAGCTATCTCAAGCTTTACTGCACTAGTTTCAAACTGGCGACTACACCTCGAAACATATTTTGACGTATTCTCGATTAAATAAATTTATAACTGACCAAAACAACATTCTAGAATGACTTATAGATGGCCTAAATTGTATGGATATAATCATAAAACCCGTAAATGTCGTTCGGAATACCCTCTGTTAAATATTTCGAGGATGCATGATTAGAAAACACATTTTGACTGTCACTTTCAGGATCTGGTAAGTGATGCTCTGATTTGTTGGATGAAAGGTCATGCTGACGTGACCCATAATGGGATGTCCTCAGATCATGTTTTAGCGGTAGCGAGAACTAAGATCTGATTTTAATGAGATTGAGTTTTGTTGGACTTTTTATTAAGAAAAGTTACCTTTTTCTGCTAGTATGTATGTCGTTAACGATTACACTTTCAACATCTCCTCTAGAGCTACAAAGCCTATGAAGCTGAAACTTGGCTTGAATCATCCCAGCAATGATGTCAGAATTGTGATTTGATGTTAAGCGTGTCGCTATGTAACAGCAGCGTATAAAATTCCCGGAAGGGCAACTTTGCAAATATTCCTGTCCAGATAAAATGCTTCCCATCCAGAATTTTCTACACTAATGAACAAAAGTAACAAAATGGTGAACATAAGAAAAGTACTGTTGATTGTTAGTTCTCAGAAAATAACAATAAACTGATGGATTGTCAACTTAGTTACTTTAACTCATTGAAATTCATCAAATTCCAAGTCTGATTGACTGCCTCTATGGTGTACTGGTAGAGTGTCTGCTCGGAGAGCGGAAGGTCAGAAATTCGATCCCTTGAAGCATCATTCCAAAAGACGTTAAAAGATGGTACTTGTTGTTACCCTGTCTTGCTCTCGGTAGTAAGGGCTAAAAGAAGGAATGGTCCACTCGGAGTCAGTATACTGTGTATAAAATTTGTATGCATGTTTTTGTTGAAGTATATATTTTTTCGAAATTCATGTCTAACTGTATCAGTCATCTCCCTCACAAAATGTTAGAAATTTGGTTGTATTTTAAGAACCTTACACTTACATACTTTGTAAATAACAAAATCAGATCAAATTATCATCTGTTATCACATTTTCCTTCACACGAATATCCAGATACAAATTATGAGTCTGTGTCCAGAAGCCAGAAATCTTTTACCAAAAAATAAATGCATATCAGTTTCTGGATGTGAATTACAAAAAGTACAAATTATCATCAGATATTTTCATTTTTGTTCAAGAAAATATTTGTGGTAATAACACCATCTTAATTTTGTATCCTGGACACATTTAACTGGCTTGAGAAAAATTCCTTGCCAGTTGAGATAACTAAAAATTATAACTTCCCATTAAGTTTTGAATTTAAGTGAGACAACATGATATTAAACTATAATATCTTTACAGGCATTTTTAATGGAACATAACTTGATGTTGCCATGAACCTAAAATAAATGTATGCTATACCCACAAACGGTCAACTGTTTCCTGATTGGCTGATAATAGAATGGGAGGGGCTTGTTTTTCATTATATTGGGTTTAACAATGTCACTGATTTTCTATTGTTGTCTTCCTGTTTTTTTATGTAAGTAATTAAAGAAGGAGTCTATGAAGTTGTTGATATTGACATATTTATTTAAAAGAATTGACTCCAATATACTTTTAAATTAATGTGGGTATAAATGTAAAAATAAGGTGTACTACGTGGATTTATTTATATTGAAGTTAAATCATAAGTTATTTTTCCATGAAAAATGTTCAATCAATGGTGATGACATCACTTATGTGAATATTTTCAACCTTTTCAGGGCAACTACCATGCTGTAATGAAACTTGATGGTATCAGTTTACACCAACGCTAAACTACATATACAGCTCCCAATACAGTGTGCTTTGAGAAGGGAGAGCAACTATGCCCTGTACGTTTCTGGAAAGAAGAAGTGTTGAGAAGAGTTCTGTGTTGAAGTCAGCATTGGCATCCTGAGTAGTGAAAAGATCAGCAGGGAGTAGCATCAGTTCGCTACTGTGTGGAGGGACAGTGTTTCTCCCTATACTCATGGACAGTACTGTACATCTAAACACATGATTCATATTATATATTGTTTCATAATGTGAGGTGTGTTTTTTTCATTCAAAATATCAATTATCATATATGGTGAATTTAGCATCTTACAAATATACTGTGCATGGAATTTCTTCACTTACACTGTTTTCAGCATTTTGAGGCAAAACTCTTTTCATGTGTTACATTTATGTTTATTGTTTCCTCAACAATAAAGAACTAGCAAAATGATGAATTTTGTTTGTAGTTGATTGATTATGACAAGGATAAACAGTATTATGTAGGCATGAATGTGTTCAGGTATTCATCACCGAACGACATGATGTCAAATGGCTGATTGTGTTAATATGCCCAATTGCACAGGTTTTGCTGATCTTGTCAGCCACTGATTTGCCTTGTCCACAATACATTTACCTGCCACCATGCTATAGCTTACATTACAATCCTGGCAATCCATGCTACAGATTATGATTTTACATCCAAACAGATGGTAAGTTAGACAGTACCAAAATAATGATGTCACCATATTATCTCAACGGAAACAAGAATCGCGAGGTGCTTTGGTAATGGTTACTACCCAATATTTGTCCGACAGTGACATAAAGCTGTGTTATTCTTGAATCAGACGCTAATGTCGCTAAATATCAACAGAAACATGAATCACATGGTTCTAGGGTTAGGGTTTCTGCCCAATATATGTCCGACAGTGATGTTAAACTGGGTTATTTCTGATACAGACGCTGATGTTATCATATTTCATGAATCATGAGGTGCTAGGGTTAGGGTTTCTGCCCAATATATGTCCGACGGTGATGTTAAACTGCGTTATTTCTGATACAGACGCTGTTGTTAACGTATTTAACAGAAACACGAATCATGAGGTTCTAGGGTTAGGGTTTCTACCCAATATATGTCCGACAGTGATGTAAAACTGCGTTATTCTTGAATCAGACGCTGATGTTCTCTTATCTCAACAGAAACATGAATGATAAGGTGCTAAGGTTAGGGTTTCTACTCAATATATGTCCGACAGTGATGTAAAACTGCGTTATTCTTGAATCAGACGCTGATGTTCTCGTATCCCAACAGAAACATGAATGATAAGGTGCTAGGGTTAGGGTTTCCACTCAATATATGTCCGACGGTGATGTTAAACTGCGTTATTCTTGAATCAGACGCTGATGTTCTCGTATCCCAACAGAAACATGAATGATAAGGTGCTAGGGTTAGGGTTTCTACTCAATATATGTCTAATTGTGATGTAAAACTGGGTTATTCCTGATACAGACGCTGATGTTCTCGTATCCCAACAGAAACATGAATGATAAGGTGCTAGGGTTAGGGTTTCTACCCAATATATGTCCGACAGTGATGTAAAACTGGATTATTTCTGATACAGACGCTGATGTTCCCGTATCTCAACAGAAACATGAATGATAAGGTGCTAGGGTTAGGGTTTCTACTCAATATATGTCCGACAGTGATGTAAAACTGCGTTATTCTTGAATCAGACGCTGATGTTCTCGTATCCCAACAGAAACATGAATGATAAGGTGCTAGGGTTAGGGTTTCTACTCAATATATGTCTAATTGTGATGTAAAACTGCGTTATTCCTGATACAGACGCTGATGTTCTCGTATCTCAACAGAAACATGAATGATAAGGTGCTAGGGTTAGGGTTTCTACCTAATATATGTCTAATTGTGATGTAAAACTGGGTTATTCCTGATACAGACGCTGATGTTCTCGTATCCCAACAGAAACATGAATGATAAGGTGCTAGGGTTAGGGTTTCTACCCAATATATGTCCTACAGTGATGTAAAACTGGATTATTTCTGATACAAACGCTGATGTTCCCGTATCTCAACAGAAACATGAATGATAAGGTGCTAGGGTTAGGATTTCTACTCAATATATGTCCGACAGTGATGTAAAACTGCGTTATTCTTGAATCAGACGCTGATGTTCTCGTATCTCAACAGAAACATGAATGATAAGGTGCTAGGGTTAGGGTTTCTACTCAATATATGTCCGACAGTGATGTAAAACTGCGTTATTCTTGAATCAGACGCTGATGTTCTCGTATCCCAACAGAAACATGAATGATAAGGTGCTAGGGTTAGGGTTTCTACCTAATATATGTCCGACAGTGATGTAAAACTGCGTTATTCTTGAATCAGACGCTGATGTTCTCGTATCCCAACAGAAACATGAATGATAAGGTGCTAGGGTTAGGGTTTCTACTCAATATATGTCTAATTGTGATGTAAAACTGCGTTATTCCTGATACAGACGCTGATGTTCTCGTATCCCAACAGAAACATGAATGATAAGGTGCTAGGGTTAGGGTTTCTACTCAATATATGTCCGACAGTGATGTAAAACTGCGTTATTCTTGAATCAGACGCTGATGTTCTCGTATCCCAACAGAAACATGAAAGATAAGGTGCTAGGGTTAGGGTTTCTACCTAATATATGTCTAATTGTGATGTAAAACTGCGTTATTCCTGATACAGACGCTGATGTTCTCGTATCCCAACAGAAACATGAATGATAAGGTGCTAGGGTTAGGGTTTCTACTCAATATATGTCCGACAGTGATGTAAAACTGCGTTATTCTTGAATCAGACGCTGATGTTCTCGTATCCCAACAGAAACATGAATGATAAGGTGCTAGGGTTAGGGTTTCTACCTAATATATGTCTAATTGTGATGTAAAACTGCGTTATTCCTGATACAGACGCTGATGTTCTCGTATCCCAATAGAAACATGAATGATAAGGTGCTAGGGTTAGGGTTTCTACCTAATATATGTCTAATTGTGATGTAAAACTGCGTTGTTCCTGATACAGACGCTGATGTTCTCATATCTCAACAGAAACATGAATGATAAGGTGCTAGGGTTAGGGTTTCTACCTAATATATGTCTAATTGTGATGTAAAACTTGGTTATTCCTGATACAGACGCTGATGTTCTCGTATCTCAACAGAAACATGAATGATAAGGTGCTAGGGTTAGGGTTTCTACTCAATATATGTCCGACAGTGATGTAAAACTGCGTTATTCTTGAATCAGACGCTGATGTTCTCGTATCCCAACAGAAACATGAATGATAAGGTGCTAGGGTAAGGGTTTCTACTCAATATATGTCTAATTGTGATGTAAAACTGCATTATTCCTGATACAGACGCTGATGTTCTCGTATCTCAACAGAAACATGAATGATAAGGTGCTAGGGTTAGGGTTTCTACCTAATATATGTCTAATTGTGATGTAAAACTGGATTATTTCTGATACAGACGCTGATGTTCCCGTATCTCAACAGAAACATGAATGATTAGGTGCTAGGGTTAGGATTTCTACTCAATATATGTCCGACAGTGATGTAAAACTGCGTTATTCTTGAATCAGACGCTGATGTTCTCGTATCTCAACAGAAACATGAATGATAAGGTGCCAGGGTTAGGGTTTCTACTCAATATATGTCCGACAGTGATGTAAAACTGCGTTATTCTTGAATCAGACGTTGATGTTCTCGTATCCCAACAGAAACATGAATGATAAGGTGCTAGGGTTAGGGTTTCTACCCAATATATGTCCGACAGTGATGTAAAACTGCGTTATTCTTGAATCAGACGCTGATGTTCTCGTATCCCAACAGAAACATGAAAGATAAGGTGCTAGGGTTAGGGTTTCTACCTAATATATGTCTAATTGTGATGTAAAACTGGGTTATTCCTGATACAGACGCTGATGTTATCGTATCTCAACAGAAACGTGAATCGTGAGGTGCTAGGGTTAGGGTTTCTACCTAATATATGTCTAATTGTGATGTAAAACTGCGTTATTCCTGATACAGACGCTGATGTTCTCGTATCTCAACAGAAACATGAATGATAAGGTGCTAGGGTTAGGGTTTCTACCTAATATATGTCCGACAGTGATGTAAAACTGCGTTATTCTTGAATCAGACGCTGATGTTCTCGTATCCCAACAGAAACATGAATGATAAGGTGCTAGGGTTAGGGTTTCTACTCAATATATGTCCGACAGTGATGTAAAACTGCGTTATTCTTGAATCAGACGCTGATGTTCTCGTATCCCAACAGAAACATGAATGATAAGGTGCTAGGGTTAGGGTTTCTACTCAATATATGTCCGACAGTGATGTAAAACTGCGTTATTCTTGAATCAGACGCTGATGTTCTCGTATCCCAACAGAAACATGAAAGATAAGGTGCTAGGGTTAGGGTTTCTACCTAATATATGTCTAATTGTGATGTAAAACTGGGTTATTCCTGATACAGACGCTGGTGTTATCGTATCTCAACAGAAACGTGAATCGTGAGGTGCTAGGGTTAGGGTTTCTACCTAATATATGTCTAATTGTGATGTAAAACTGCGTTATTCCTGATACAGACGCTGATGTTCTCGTATCCCAACAGAAACATGAATGATAAGGTGCTAGGGTTAGGGTTTCTACTCAATATATGTCTAATTGTGATATAAAAGTGGGTTATTTCTGATACAGACGCTGATGTTATCGTATCTCAACAGAAACATGAATCGTAAGGTGCTTGGGTTTGGGCTTCTTCCCAATGTATGTCCGACAATGATGTAAAACTGGATTATTCTTGAATCAGACGCAGCTGTTACGGAATCTCAAAAGAACAAGAATCGTAAGGTTCTAGGGTTAGTGTTCCTACCCAATATATGTCTAATTGTGATATAAAAGTGGGCCGAAAAGTGACAAGAAACTGCTTTATTAGTCACACAGACCCTACTTATTAATTTCTGCCTTTATGGTACTGCAATTTTGCTGGAGTAGAGTGAGAGAAACTTGGGTGTACAGGTGTCCCAATTGTCATGGTTGATGGAACTTGATGTACTGGTCATGGGTTCAAATCCAGAATATGAACCTTCGTTTCAGCACCACAATACCTCTTGTGGTTGCATAAATTTGTGTCTCACTTTCAAATCACACTGCCACATGTCCATCTGTTCAGCTTAAGGTCACTATTCTCCAAACCAGTGATCAGAATGGATCCTCACATAACCAATCGACACAACTCTGCAGTGTTGAAGCATTTAAGACCATTAGGCCAACTTTTCTCTCAAACAGCATAAAACATCCACACTATGGTGACGACAATCTCATTAAAATCAGACCTTAGTTCTTGCTACTGCTAAACAAAGATCTGAGGACATCCCAGTACGGGTCACGTCAGACCGACCTTGTGCGAACTTTGACCGACCAATAGAATGACCAATCAGAAGGCAGCTTTCTCGTGCTTTACGGCACTAATTTCAAATTGGCGACTACGCTTCGAAAAATATTTGGACAAATTCTCGATTACAAATTTGAAAACTAAACAAAAGAACATTCTGGAGTGGCTAATAGATGGTCTAGATTGTATGGATTCAGTTGTTAAACCTGCAACTATCTTTCCGAATACCCCGTGTTAAAAGTTTTCGAGGTTGTATGATTAGAAATCACATTCTGACTGTCACTTTCATGATCTGGTTAGCGACGCTCTGATCGGTCGAATGAAAAGTCGTTCTGACGTGACTCCTAATGGGATGTCTTCAGGTCTTTGTTTAGTGGTAGCGAGAACTAAGGTCTGATTTTAATGAGATTGTGGTGACGGAAACACAACTAGTATCACATGTATTCCAATACTTTATTCTATTACAGAAATCCATTTTTTTATACTATATATACATCAGTAGTGAAAACAAAAAACTTCTGAATACCATATTTGTGAAACTTATACTTAAAGATGGTGTCAGTTATCTTCAACTTGCTGAATATGAACTTGACAATATTAGTGTTGGAATCAAGAGTGCAGCGTCCAGTTCATGACATCACTTTAAAGCAGATATCTGAAACCACAAAAAAATGAATCAAAAATCTTATCTGGAGCTCTGTTAAAATACTGTAAAATTTGCATTTTATCTCAAACCTCAAATAAAATATTTCAAAATTTCAAATTCACACATTTCTCAGCCCATTATACACTTTATTAACAACAATTAGTGAAAGCACACTTTCAAGATTTATTTTCTGGCATATTGCTCAGCAATGGTGCCCCAAAACTGCTACCCTTTTGTTAATTCCAACCCAATAAGTACATAGAAGGTTGCATGATCAAAAACATAAGAACAAATAGTTGAAGGCAAGTGTTTTAGAAGCACATAGTGTTTCAAATAAAAAATATGACTAAACTTAATCAAATAGATTGCAAACATAAGTCTAGATATATACAATGAACACTTCTCAAGAACATCTGTGCATCCTTACAACAGGACTAACTTGCATAATTTCAGAGCAGATTTGTTAAAATTGCTATTTCAGATGACCTAAAAATGCGTTTGTGGGGGAAGTATTTAAATGTATGGGACCCATGTATTTTACCTGAAGTTTAACCCAATCTGTGGTATTTCATGAAGGGTGTTTTAGCAAGGGATGACTGTATTTATGTTTATGTTGCAGCATTGCAAAAAGAACCAACATCAGATATTTCAAATCCTTATCTTGAACAAATATACAGTTTGGAATCCCAATAAAATTCACATTTCTTGAACTGATTTGCCGCTCTGATAAAGGGTACTTATATATTTTATTATGTGGCTGTTTTCTCAATATCATTTTCATTTTAACACTTAGATCAATTCATAACATTTAATACACTCCTGTGTCACCATTTACAGTGTTGATATTTTCCATTCATCACTCGAATTTACCGGTATATGCATAAAACCAAAAGGACTAAACGAAAATGCAGTAAATGTAGATAAGGGGGCACATGTGAAGTATGTGCAGTTAAAGTAACAGCAGTTAAAAAAATAATACTATGCCCCAAAGTACAATGTAATATAATTTAGCATCGACGACAAATTCAATATGGTTGACATGGTGGCCATATTTAGAATCAAGATATTATCACTGTCATCTTGTTACAATAACAAGCAACTAACCAAGTCACCGAACCTGACCACCCAATCACTTAACTCGTCCCTTATAACAAGGATAGGTTGCAGTGGACCTATTCTAACACAGAATCACCACGATGGACTGATTTTTGTGATTCTTGGATTTCTTGGATTGTCATTAAAGTAAAAGTTTTAAACAACTGAAGGTTGATGCAAGCTAACATTAGCTGACTTCAACACTTGGTACCTGAACACATAACACATCTACAGACTGAATTTGTTTAAAATATATCAACATTGGTCTATGTTTTGTGTCGTTATATTCGCAGCCATGTTATTTTCGACCACCTTAAAGGAAGATAAATTTGAAAGTGACTATTGAACATAACATGTCTTTACACACATGACCATTCTATTTTATGTTGTAATTTAAATTTCATGTCCATTATTCATGTGTTCAATCATTTTCAGATGACTTTTGGACCCCACAGCCCCTCAATACCTGAAAAGTTCATGGTGAATCTCAAACCTGAACTGTGTTCAGATAACAGCAGTTACGTGGGTGATTTCTGACCTGCTGACAGATTATTGTTCAGATCAATATTTGCTTCAACTCAGACACCCACCTTAATGCAGTTATGTTTGCGATTTCGGACCTTCTTGATTTTGACTGATTTTGCTGACTTTTTGCCTAGTTTTACATTTAATGTATATTTTATAAAAATAAAAGTCCACACAAAGGAAACAGTGGATAAATAACACATAACAAGCCATGAGGAATTTATCATCCTTTAATTTTCAAACCCCTGATGAAATTTGGAAGTTTAATCTTACCCAAAATGTTGAAAAACTTACTTTTCCACATAAATTTTTTAACCAGATGTTATTCTTCCACCTTATTTGATTTGCAGATTTCCATGTCAGACAAAGATCAAGCGGTGTCATAGGATTCCTTTTCACTTGATCAGGAGGGATGCTGTTGTGTGCCAACTGAAATAAAAAATACGACGATGATAATCAATGCTACTCCATAGTCATACTGTCATCGGGGCCTTGGTCTATAATTCAGGGTACGATTTCATTCTGTCTTACCACCTGCACCAGGTGCAACAAAGTGAACTAAGCAGGTTGCACCACCAAAATCTTCTGTTATTTTGAATTTTAAATAAATTCAAAGAAAAAAAACCCTTGAGAATGTGCTCCAGAATTTATTTTGAGGTGAATCTGAACATGCCTTTTCATATCATGATATCGAGTAAACAACCTTAAACAGAAGTCTCAAAGTGTCTGTTGTGATTGTAACCTCATGAGTGACTGTTCTAGTGGTAATTGTGAAGAATGAGTCCTGCAAGTTCAATGCATTCAGACCACCTGTGTATTTCACTATTTTCATGAACTTTTGTTTCCTGGATTCGAAAAGACTTGCAGCCAGTTCTAAAAGAATTCAGTTTTCCACTTATGGTTGGAAATGTTACCTGCACTGGGTGCAACCTAACCTCACCTAAAAGTTACCGACACCTGGGCCTACTTGCACAGAACAATCTTAACTACAATCGATCTTAGGCGGCTACAATCAATTTTACAATCACCATACAATTGTCCTATTCCACTTGCACAAACCCATCTTAGTGTGATTGTAAGACGGCTCATCTAAGATTGAAATCTTCAACGGTGGAGGTACAAATATCTTAAACTCGACTCCTGTCTACAGTTGTCTGCAAACGCGCATAGCTTGCTGCGTATACAATAAGTGGAACTGTTCACGACACAACATGTACCTCCCTCCATGGGACCTTGCACAGTTTCAAGAAAGGTGCCAATTATTTGAAGGAAACGATTACTAGAATGATGGCATATATTTTTGTCGGCATTAATAGTGTCATGATTTAGGAATTGTTATCTGTTGCAACTTGAGAAATACCTACTCATGTTTTTTTATCAAAAGTATTGAAATATGAATAAATATATTATTTAGTGACACAATCATTATGAAAATTAAAATAAACAAGTATTTGTCACAAAGTGACGAAATGTCCCCCGCCTGTATATACACCATAGTACCAAATATGAAGACAATCCAGCGATTAGTTCTTGAGATATTGCGGCAACACCGTTTCCAACTCCAAAAGCAGATTTGCCTGCTGTGACCTTGAAAATGGGGTCAAGGTCCTCAAAACCTATGGTGTCTGCGGAGTCTGTATATACACCATAGTTCCAAATATGAAGACAATCCAGTGTTTAGTTCTTGAGATATCGCGGCAACAAACAGGTGGGACGTACGGATGGACGTGAATACTACATCCCCCGCTTCGCACTTTCGCGCGGCGGGGGACAATAATACTAAAAATATTTCCTAATAACATAACAGGGAGAAGCTTTTCGTAAAATCCTAAATATATCCTTCATGCTTTCATTTTGTTGCTGTGACAAAGGATGTTATGAGTACCTTTTCAAAACACAGGAAGACGCAGGATTTCAAGAATGCATGAAAAATAATAATAATGAATAATGTTTTGAGAAAGCAGTTGTTTAATATATATTCACTCTGTATTAATTATATTGATAATTATTTTTAAAAGGTGTAATTTTTACTTTTGCTATTTATGGGATATTTTACACAAATTTCAAATGTCTCATCATGTGTATTTGCTTGTTTAATAAATACTTTTCTTTTCTTTTTAATTCAGATTTTAAAATCCCTTGTCCCCTGCCAACTCGATTTTAGATTTAAACATGTTTGACTTCATCTAATATTTATTTGTAGATTAATTTAATGATGAACTAAAGACAAAATAACTGACACGAATGGGACCGAAAAGAATAACAGGGGGAGCTCAGCGATTCTACAACATTAATACACTGGGCAAGGTAGATTCTACGCTACATGCTTACACAAAGGGAAACCACTCTCATCTAGAGTATAAACTATGATTAGCTGCCCTTGAGTTATTGAAAAGGTCACGGACGTTACTAATTGCTTGCATACAACTTTTTATCCTTCCCTTGATTAGTGAAAAGGTATGTTGTTTCACACTTCTTTCAGCATTGAGTCCGGTGGGTATAGTACTTTTACTTTTAGCTATCGATTCAATAGTTAAGTGGTTCACTATTGCAATTAACGATATTTCTGACGTTAAATCTTAAATTAAAGTGTTGATTTGAATCATAAAGTTAACAAAATAACGAGGCAATATTTGAACATAAGGCAGAATATATATGTGAATTAGATGAGGTCCTGCGCGCCATTTTGTCAAGTTTATTCAGGGACCACAACAATCTTAGCTACTTAAGATTGGTTTGGACCAATTGTAAGTTTCGCTTGTAGCTTACACTGATCATTGCCTACAATCCCTTTGATCAATTGGACAGCGATTGTAGCTGAAGCCTAAGATCGTGATCTTAAGGATTTACAATAATTGAAGTGCTAAGATGGTTCTGTGCAAGTGGACCCAGCAATGTTTTTACCTGCACTGGTGGGGCTTGTATGTAGAGAAATCGATCCCTGTAATTGAATGTGATTATGGCTATTAATGTAGTATTTAAGTAATAGTATAGACAAATACTACAATGACAATGACAGAATTTGCTGCGTATATTTCTTATTTATCAATAAGTCATTAAAGCCTTAATCATGTTAATGATATTTAACATAACCCTAAGGTAATGATTGTTCTCTTCCTGTCAACATTAACAGATTTCTACATTCAACTGTTTATTACTCAAAATTGTGTATCTTGTGTAAGTGAATAGGCAATATAATCAGAAACCTATTATCAGGATGAGTTGGTTTTCAACCACAGAGATCCATGAAAAACGTTTGACAGTGACCATCATACGTAAGGGCAATGTGTTGAATTGGAACCCCTTTGATCACATGGGTCTAATGGTACGCTCTCTGATTGGGTGCTGCCTAACTTCCTTCTTTCTTACATGTCAGTCACTGGATACAATAGATCATATTTGAAGATATTGATGAATTTCAAAACAATTGTCATACACACTGGTATACCATAATGACATTATAGATGGAAATAAATACCTTCTACAGCAATTTAATATCATCTAACAGTTCTGGAATAGCTAAATATGCAAACAAAAGAATCAACATGTTTTTTACACTATAGATGACTTACTGTACAATAACTTACATGTCTGAGTAGTGGAAGAAAACAACATTTTAAACATATCTGCCATGTTTGTCATGCTCAAACTCAAATAAAAAATTTTAATACATTTCTGGTGACTTTATTCCTGGAACCACACAAAAAATGACAGCTTCATAACAATTGTAGGTTATTAAAGAAATGTAAAAATAAAGCATCACTGGATTCAAGGATTACATTAAGGTTAAAGTTCATAAATGTGCAAGTTATTGAAATACACACAACAGAACCTCGTGCAACATTGTCACCATATATTGAATTACATGAGCAGTCTGTGCCCCAAAATGATGGGTCAACTAGCCCGTTGATACTTCATTGTGTTCAGTAGTATACAGTGCAGAGTCTGCTGAGTCCAGTAAAGAGTCAGAATATAATATAGCAGTTGCCTTATTAGTCTATAGCAATTTGTCATCTGCAAATATATTAAAAAATATTGGACATTACTATTTAATTGGATTAGGAATTCCACAGAGATTAGATAAGTACGTAAAACATAATTTTAACAGTATGATTAGAGAATCAAGATGATATTTTTAAGATTAGAAATTGAATTTGTCCCCAGTTTTAAGAGGCTTGGGTAAACCCTGTAGTGACCAGGCTCCATGGTCCAGTGCACAACATTTACAATGTAGGTCTAAACTAAACAGGGGGCCCTAGCACTTGACCTTACATCTTCCACAAACAGCCTGTCAGCTGAAAAGGAACATAGCAGTTTTCTTATAATGTTCAATTCTTCCAATCCAGGTGCAAAGAGTTTTAATATTTATAATATTAATAAAAAAACATATACTTTATGCTGACATCCCTAGCACCGGTTAAAATGATGGTGACTCGCTTGTATTACTTTTCCCATTTCTATTAGATTGGAGACACTTATTTCAGAATATGATGAGCAAACTTGACTCTTGTCAGGTAATATTATCAATACACCAGGTAGGCACCTTGCACAATCATAACTTGAGAAAGACAGAGACGAGTTCAACAAAAAATACCACAACAAGGTAGTGCACATTAGCTCTGTTGTGAGGAAGATACTGATTTTACAACTAAAGTGGACACTTTCTAGCACATTTTACAAACATACATAACCTGAAGATACCATATAATTGTGTTACGACAAAGCATGTGCAGATAGTTGTGGGAACCTTGGTTTGTGTCTCTTACAAACTGATACAAACAGTCTGTATTCATAATAATCAATAAAAATAGCACACTATAATACTAGAGTATAAGATTATTTAAAAAATTGAACTGTATAACTTTGTTTGTTTGTTGTTTAATGCTGTACTAAGCAATATTCGTGCTTTGACAGCTGCCTGTAAATAATCAAATCTGGACCTGACAATCCAGTAATTGACATCATGAGCATCAATCCATGCAAAAGGGATACGATGACATGCATTAACATGGTCTCTGAGCCTGACCCCTCAATCACGTTAGTCGCCTCTTATGACAAGGATAGTCGCCTCTTAAAGCAAGCATGGTTTGCTGAAGACCTATTCTGACCCTGATCTTCACTGGTAAATGTGTATAACTAAACATGCTGAAGTAGTGCCCATGATCATGTGGCACTTGCCACCAAGACAATGACAAGAACTACAGTAACAATATTCCCTCTATTTGGGTACAACACAAATTGTCTAAAACACTGAGAAATATGCACATTTGCTCTTAGTCCTTATTAAAGTGTGCTGGTACTGTACAGACAAATCTTATTTTGGAATGTATCAGAAATAACAGGAAAATGACAAGGACAAATGCAGGCCAGTAGACAAAGTGAAAAGAAAAATATACAATATATAAAACACTGCCAAACAGATCACTATTTAAAAACAACACTATGTCATTTTTTGTATGTACAATGACATTATAATTGGGGATTCAATTATACTTACTAAAACAGGATGTTGCCAGCAGTGTTCACTACGGTTCATGATATGGTATTCTCAGTTCTGTCCATTGCTCATTGGCAGATGTAGTGTCTGCTACTGTCAACAAAAACATTCCAACATTACACCCTACACTAAATTGTATGAGTTAAATGGAGATATATTCATCAATAAAATGGTATTTTGCCTTCAGACACTTAGTTATCAGAGGATTACAGTTAGTTAGATGCTGTAGGCCTAGTCATAATCTTAAAATATGACAACACAATTATTCTGGTATAAATGGATAAATTTGAGTTTGTTGACAGAGGTTGCAAAGAAACAATACAGATGTAGACTGACCAGTGTAATTAACTAACAGTTGGGGAATGTTGATCATGACTGGTTATAAAGTCTATCAATCAGCCTCTCTACTATCAACAAACATTTAGGCCTACAAAACAAACACTTTCACCAGCACTTTGAGAATACCTGGGTCACGTGATGGTGTTTTGGAGCATTTTCAGTTGTTTGGGACTTCAGAGCTTGAATAAATTTTCTGCCTCCGATGCATACTGCTGAAATGTAAACAAAATACGACATATAATAGTATATATATGTAAATACTAATTACTAGTAATTACTACCAGTTGGACTAAAAGAAACGAGCGATTCTGAAAAGGAACGTGACCCAATCGTCTTTGGATGCAAGTGATTCGCGTCAAAACATGGGCGCTTGATACCAGGCAACAACTCCAATACAATATACGATAGGTAGTACTGTAGGACATACTGTTTCGGTAAAGCACTCTTTCTTTTAGAATAAACGGCATTTATGATGCGTGACCTTGCTTGTGCACGTCGACGTTGTTTCTAGGGACGCAAGGCTACCTGTAGAAAACACGCACGACATTACGTTCCCACTTGTGGCAATGGTAGGAATATTGAAGAGTTATGAAAACACCCACGTTTGTTGTGCTCTATTTAGAGAAAAGACACAATTAACTAGCCTAAACTTGGCCTAGGTTGAGTGGAACAAATGACGTGACCTTACACAAAATGGCGGCGGATGATGATGCATGACGAGGTCATGTGACCAGCTGGTGATGTAATTATCAACGGTTACCGTATAATTTTCTTCATGATAATGTAGATTCTATTTGTAATTTCAGGTGACTGGGAACATACTGGAATGGTGGTTGAAAGGTTCGCATGGCGCATTTCACCATTACGAAGCTACTTCTACAACTAGAAAGCTAGCTGGTTACAGGCTGAAGTTGCTCTGCGGTAATCTATTTATTTTTCTGTTGAGACAGAGCCTGGCTTGCATACCGTCGACGTAGACTCGTTGACCAATGAAAATCATTTTAGACATGCTCTTTTGCCGTTAGGTAGTAGTAGCAGTAAATGTTAGTCTCCAGAGACGTAGAGACCGTCTTTGTACCTACTAGTAGCAGGTCATAGTTGCTAACAACTCTGTGCTAGTAGTAGGTAATATTTCCTGGATCGGGTGCAATATGAATAGCAGAGCCGCCTGCTTCTTTGACGTCCCAGTGCAGAGTTCCAGAATTCCTCGTAAATTGTGTCTACGAGTTGGCATTAGCTACGAATTCATCGCATCCCGTAAGATATATGAAATGTATTCATTTGGTAAATCTGTTTGCAAGATTATTTTGTGTGAAGAATGAATGGATGCATGGTGAATGAAACTGTATTTTGTTTTCCCTATCCTCCCTTATGTTTCCTGATCCCGTTCCAAGAAACGCGACAATCAGTGGCCGTTTTCGCCAGATGATATAAACGACGTTTTGATGGGGTGCCGTTTCAGTCCACACATCACAGGGCCACGGATAGCCATACCATACTGACTGTACTGATTACATTAAAAAAAGCCTCTTTTTTAATGTAATCAGTACAGTCAGTATAGTATGGCTATCCGTCGCCCTGTGCCACACATAGCCAAGAGCCGCTGTGGGGTACTAGCCTACAGTCAAGACATGACCCTACATCATGTAATGTCTTGACTGTAGGACCCCATCGCGTCTCTCGGATAGTCATTTGGTCAAAATAGACCTGTGAAATCCGATGAAAACACGATATTTGTTAAGTGGATACATATCAGAACCAGATTGATCAGTTAGTATCGACTTTTAGTCCCTTGCCTTGCCTTCGTGCCTTGTGCAAACAGTTGGCTTTTACAAGCTCCTCACAGCGATGTCCTGTTCGCGGTGCTCCCGAGAGCGTAACGAAGGTGTCACGCACTGTGAAGGAGCTTTGTGTTTACCCTTCCAAGGGAGGTAGCTCTGAAGATATAATTGTAAACTGTTGCAATACAGTTGACATCCGAGTCAGGATCTTGTATTGTATCAAATCTTGACCAATCGAGTCGATAGATATTTAAATGCGATTTCGTCCTCTCGTTCGACTTGGCTTCAGCTGTGCCAGCAGGTAATGGATCTACATACATAATTAATCGCGGTTTTACGTATTGTATTTGTTGCTGAAGTGTGAACCGGTGACGTGAGTGCATTCTGCCGCCAGACACTGAACGATCAGCTGATCAATAGGTAAATGTGTGAAGTATTTGTGGTTTGTTTATAGATATGGTTATTACTATTTTGGGTCATTTTGTTTCTCTGGTGTGCCACAGCAGGAGACAAGACTACAAAATAGATTCCTTTGATGAGTTAACACAGAATATTATCAGTGTAGCCATGGACTTTGGTCAGATGATTTGCACTCGACCTAGAAAAATATTAAGTGAAGTTTCTACCATAACTTTGGGTAGTTTACAACATGTTAGTTAGTTATCTATATCTAGAAGTGCTGGAAGCAAAGGTATATCGATATATATGCAAATGGAGCCTGTGACCATGATATCAACTTGTTGCTAAACAAAAGGTTTGTGACATGTATAGAGCATAGGTTTAGGGATGTATGTGGTATATGAACAGGGCCGTATAAACCTGATAAATTGTGAACATGCCATTCTTATGTAATTTATTTGGTCCAGCACATTTCAACCTGGGCCCATTGGTTTGGGGGTACGATAGTCCCGAGTATGCTGTGCTTGCTGTAAGATAAGAAAATACTTAATGTCCTAAAAGGGAATTCTATTTTCATCATATCATCACATGACTTTACAGATTTACGTAAGCATGAATGAATACAGAAACATATCGAAATTATAAAAGTGAAGTACATTCTATTAAACTATGTATACTGAACCGCAAAAGAAACATCAACCCAAGTAACATTGCATGAAGAGTTGTCATTTAAATATCTGGGTAATTTTTGTAAAGTTTCTAAAATTTAACATTACCTTGTCCAGAAAAATGAAATTTGATGATAATAAAACAAAGCAGATGACAATAAAACCAATCGCCCAAACGCACTTCAAGTCACTCGTGTTTGCATTCCTTCTGACTTTTATATGTTTGACTAAGATAGGGCTTCAGTCAACTTCAGTGTGTGCATGATCAGATCATTTTATACCTGTATCGAAACTGTTTTTGGCAGAGCTCCAGTAAAACAACTCCCATTCAGACATATTTTACCCAACATGAGACCTACAGTGGGTTCTGGGTAGGGTTGGATTGCAGAGGGTCCAGTCCTATAAATATTGGAAATAGATTTGAAATGTATCGGTAATTTGTAATTCCAGAATGAGCAGAGATCGTACTACCAGTAGTGCAGTGAGGCCCAGCAATGTGGCCACCCAGTACCAGGAGCAGCTGTTTGACAGTGCTGCCAAGGGCAATGTAGAACATGTCCTCGCCATGCTTAAAGGTAATGCTGGTATGGTGTCAGTATCTTAACTAGTTACTTTAGAAAGTGCATAATAGCATATGAATCAAATTGTTAATCAGGAAATCTGATTTCTGGATAAGGACACAAAAATGGTACTCAAAATGGAAGCGTTGCTTTATTTTGATGCACAATCAGGATGATTGACTCTCTCTTCACTTGCCACACAGACCATTTTCAGTTTATACATTTACATATATTCTCTTAAAAAAAAGAAATGCAAAGGTGATTTTAGATGTATATTTTATGCATCATATATATAATGAAATGGTAATCGATTGTTCAAAATTGGCACACATCATTTTCATTGATCCAGGTTCTATATGGCACATATGGAACAGTAGATTTTCAAGGTGAAGGTCATCTGTTCTCAATATCTTATGTGGCCACCATCAAAGTCCTACCATGGAAACAATCAGATCCAAAATTGTGACATGGGGAATGTTCACCCACTCTGTCTGCAGTGCTTGTGCCAACTGCCACAGGTGTGGAGGGCCATGGCAGGACCTGGATGTAGTGATTTCTGAAAAGGCTGTTGTCAGTCTTGCTGTGGGAGGTCGGGCGTTGTCTTGTTGGAAATTATGTTTGCATAATGGGAAGGATATGTGGCCGAAGAGTCTCATCTGTGTAACATGGAGCTGTTAATTTCCCCAGAACCTGCACCAAGACTGTTCTACGAGTGTTGGCAATGGCTGCCCACATCATCACACTACCCCCACCACACTGTCCACTTTCTGTGTGCATTTTCGTGCATAACGTTCCCAGCATCGCCTGTAAACACGTTGTCTACCATCCACACAACAAAGCATAAAACATGACTCATCACTAAACCAAGCTTGTCTCCATCACAGTTGTGGCCAAACTCTGTGACCTTGACACCACTGATGTCGCAGCCGATGATACAGTTCCATCAAAATGACACCTCAAACTCGACACCTGAACCTTCAGCGCATAAACAGTTCCTCGCTATCCAGGCTGATATCCTACTCAATCCTAGTATTGCCATAATTGTATGGGTGGCCGTTGTGGTTCTATCCCATAAGTAACATAGCCATATGAATGTGCTCTGGTGGTGATATGTGGTCTACCTGATCTGGGAAGGTCACATGTTGTCCCGTGTGTCCACAGTCTTGTATTGATGTTTGGTGCAATATGGCTACAGCTGAAGATGATTCTCCTGTTAGTGGTCGGATGATTGAGTTGTTGTGTTGGGCTTCAGTCAGTCAAGGCATGTTTTTGCCGTAAGATTGTGATGGCATGCAAATGAAAACCCAATGTTTTTATATCCCAATCCATGCAGGAATGACCAATTCATTTTTGGTATTATTTTTTGTATGGATGTCGACTGTCAGATATTTACGATTTTACTACTTTTGGATTTTGCGTTTTGCAGGGAAAATAATCTATCTTTATATCATCCAAAATATGTGATGTACTTCATAATCAGTGAAATGTTAGTAGTCAGCTACTTGAGATGGGAATCAATTTGAATTTCATCCATATTTGGTAATAAGCACTTTATTCTTGCAGCTGTTTTGTTATGGCAGATGTGGTGGAGCCTGCTTTACATATCCTGTTTTGTTATGGCAGATATGGTGGAGCCTGCTTTACATATCTTGTTTTGTTATGGCAGATGTGGTGGAGCCTGCTTTACATATCCTGTTTTGTTATGGCAGATGTGGTGGAGCCTGCTTTACATATCCTGTTTTGTTATGGCAGATGTGGTGGAGCCTGCCTTACATATCCTGTTTTGTTATGGCAGATGTGGTGGAGCCTGCTTTACATATCCTGTTTTGTTATGGCAGATATGGTGGAGCCTGCTTTACATATCTTGTTTTGTTATGGCAGATGTGGTGGAGCCTGCTTTACATATCCTGTTTTGTTATGGCAGATGTGGTGGAGCCTGCCTTACATATCCTGTTTTGTTATGGCAGATGTGGTGAAGCCTGCTTTACATGTCCTGTTTTGTTTTAGCAGATGTGGCGGAGCCTGCTTTACATATCCTGTTTTGTTATGGCAGATGTCGTGGAGCCTGCTTTACATATCCTGTTTTGTTATGGCAGATGTGGTGGAGCCTGCTTTACATATCCTGTTTTGTTATGGCAGATGTGGTGAAGCCTGCTTTACATATCCTGTTTTGTTATGGCAGATGTCGTGGAGCCTGCTTTACATATCCTGTTTTGTTATGGCAGATGTGGTGGAGCCTGCTTTACATATCCTGTTTTGTTATGGCAGATGTGGTGGAGCCTGCCTTACATATCCTGTTTTGTTATGGAAGATGTGGTGAAGCCTGCTTTACATGTCCTGTTTTGTTTTAGCAGATGTGGCGGAGCCTGCTTTACATATCCTGTTTTGTTATGGCAGATGTCGTGGAGCCTGCTTTACATATCCTGTTTTGTTATGGCAGATGTGGTGGAGCCTGCTTTACATATCCTGTTTTGTTATGGCAGATGTGGTGAAGCCTGCTTTACATATCCTGTTTTGTTATGGCAGATGTCGTGGAGCCTGCTTTACATATCCTGTTTTGTTATGGCAGATGTGGTGGAGCCTGCTTTACATATCCTGTTTTGTTATGGCAGATGTGGTGGAGCCTGCTTTACATATCCTGTTTTGTTATGGCAGATGTGGTGAAGCCTGCTTTACATATCCTGTTTTGTTATGGCAGATGTGGTGGAGCCTGCTTTACATGTCCTGTTTTGTTTCAGCAGATGTAGTGGAGCCTGCTTTAGAGATCCTGTTTTGTTATGGCAGATGTGGTGAAGCCTGCTTTACATATCCTATTGTGTTATGGCAGATGTGGTGGAGCCTGCTTTACATATCCTGTTTTGTTTCAGCAGATGTGGTGAAGCCTGCTTTACTTATCCTGTTTTGTTATGGCAGATGTGGTGGAGCCTGCTTTACATATCCTGTTTTGTTATGGCAGATGTGGTGGAGCCTGCTTTACATATCCTGTTTTGTTATGGCAGATGTGGTGGAGCCTGCTTTACATATCCTGTTTTGTTATGGCAGATGTGGTGGAGCCTGCTTTACATATCTTGTTTTGTTATGGAAGATGTGGTGGAGCCTGCTTTACATATCTTGTTTTGTTATGGCAGATGTGGTGGAGCCTGCTTTACATATCCTGTTTTGTTTTAGCAGATGTGGTGGAGCCTGCTTTACATGTCCTGTTTTGTTATGGCAGATGTGGTGAAGCCTGCTTTACATGGTCCTGTTTTGTTATGGCAGATGTGGTTGAGCCTGCTTTACATATCTTGTTTTGTTATGGCAGATGTGGTGAAGCCTGCTTTACATGTCCTGTTTTGTTATGGCAGATGTGGTGGAGCCTGCCTTACGTGTCCTGTTTTGTTATGGCAGATGTGGTGGAGCCTGCTTTACATATCTTGCTTTGTTATGGCAGATGTGGTGGAGCCTGCTTTACATATCCTGTTTTGTTATGGCAGATGTGGTGGAGCCCACCTTACGTGTCCTGTTTTGTTATGGCAGATGTGGTTGAGCCCACCTTACATGTCCTGTTTTGTTATGGCAGATGTGGTGGAGCCCACCTTACGTGTCCTGTTTTGTTATGGCAGATGTGGTGGAGCCTGCTTTACATGTCCTGTTTTGTTACAGCAGCCGTGGATGTTGATGCCAAGAATGATCATGGGTGGACAGCGCTGATGTTTGCTGCCAGGAATGGCCAGGTGCCTGTCATCAAGTCCTTGTTAGAACAAGGGTAAGTTCAAACAGCTGATCTGGCACCTACAAAGCAGTGCTGTGACTAATCATTTGCTAACACTGAGTGTGATTTGGGTGATGCAGATGGCAAATTGTATGTCTTAGTTTTGTTCTTTGTATGCTTAATATCTGAAGACAGTTGTCCCACTACACAACGGCTTTTCTTGGTTAGATCTGAGCTGCATATCTAAATTGTGTGTTTGCACGTCAGTATGGCAGAGTAATACCATTGACTACTCAAAGTCTCTGATACCACAAGGAATAAAACAAATTCTCCATTTGTCATTATGTTCAGGACAAGCAAGAAGACAAAATTTGAGATTCAATTTGTGTTGTTGTCACTTTGAGATGTCTTTCAATTTGTTGATGTATCATTGACAGGCTTGTGACATAAACATACACTTAATGACATTGAATAACAACAGAAGGTAAATTTGTTGGACGAAAGGCCAAGTTGTGGATGCATGAGGCAGGCACCATCCATTAAGGGAAATAACTCCCATGGTGTTAGTATAGTGCAGCTTGCAAATAAACCAGCTCTTTTATGTACCCTAAGCACATGAACTTACCACTCTTTTGCTGGACCCTGAGCAGACAAGAGTTAACATTTGCTGAAGATCTGCAGGCTGGATAAATTGGCCCCATCTGTGATCAAGCAGCAAACATAATAGAACTACCTTTTTGCCCATACCATGCCATCTGCGCTACTAGAGTGCCCCCATCCACAACTGGGATTACTTTGATCAAAATTTGATCAAAATTTCCCCTGTGATCAAAATTATACACTAACTGCATTACTGAGATATCTCTTATGAAGCTTGTCTGTGTGCTTGCACATTGTCTCTGAGGTACATACTGTCAGTATGTGGATCCACACGGTCATAACTTACCACTAGGCTTGTGAGCTCTTTCACACAAATGGCAGCCTGATGATTTGACAGCTCCTTGGCTGGTTCTTTGTAGCTGTGCCCCACGTCCATGAAGCAAGTATAAGTAGAGTTAGTATCTAATGTAATGCTGATAGCATGAGGATAAGCATGTCATGTCAGGGTCAATCATTGATATTAACTTTATTCTTCAAGTTTTGTTATTCATGAGTAAATAATGACATGTAAGTATTTGATTGTTATTGCATACCGTTGACCTTTTTTAAATTGATGTATTTTATCATGGAATGGCTGCCTATACTTCAGAGCTGAAAGTATGAAACAGAACAGGATTACCAACAATCTGTGTTTTGCTGTACACTGCCTCCAGCTTGCACGGTGATGGTATATGTTTTCCAGGAAGTGAAGGGACGTCAATCAGGAGCCTTAACTAAATGCCGAGTCAGTTGTCTCTGCCATGGATCTGATATTTTCAGTGTGTGATGCTTGTGGGATGATAAGGTGTTTCCTTGTGTCACCTATAGGTGTAGTATGAATGTCCTCAACTCATCCGGCCAGACAGCTCTGGATATCGCCAACTTCTGGAACCACAGCGATGCATCTAGCGCCCTCTCTGACGGAGCTGTCGTTCCCACCCAGGAGTGTCAGAACTACTACTCCCTCAACCCACTTAACAGAGCCTCTGACCGGAGAAAACACCCGGAATGGATCCACCAAGCTGTCAGAAGGGACAACACAAAGTTCATCCTTTTCTCAGATCTGAATCCCTTTCTTATAGAGGACACAAACCAAAAGTCCAAGAAGAGTAAATATGTCCTAGGTCTGTTCAGTTATAATCAGCTAGCAGAACATATAGCAAAGAAACCTCTACTCATATTCCTAGGGCTTGAAACTTGGGACCCTGAGTCTGCTGTGTGGTTTGCTGTTGATGTCACAGGGGTCGAAGAGAGCAAACTGAAGGATGTGCACAAAGATGGCTTCTTTGCAAATCCGTTTCCATTAACTATGCAGATGGATGACCGACATGCTGGAATATTTGCTGAAGCTCGGTCTATTCTAACCTGGCATGATCGGTACTCCTTCTGTGCTACATGTGGCAGCTCGACAGTGGTGCAGGAGGCGGGCTACAAACGGGTGTGCGGCAACGCTGACTGCCGCAGTCACAAGGGTGAGTGAGCTGTGGAGGAGACTGTTCTCAGGATATGGAGATAGGGTGTTTGTTCTCAGACATCACCTGTGGTAGATTTTCACCCCACATAACCAGAGCTGTGCTTTGGATTTTAAAGATAGATCAACCCAAAATGACATCATTTGGAAAATATTCCAACAAAATATGCTCCCCAGTATGTTTTGCTGCAGGGATACTCATGTCAATCATGTACTTTAAAAGTAATGTTCATAGTTTTATCATGAGCTTTTAAATGATTCACTTCACATTGTTTTGTCATCATGCATGTCAAATGTATTGTGTTCATTGAACTCTGATTTAACTTGGCCTGGTTTTTGTTTTTGCATGAATCAAGGCAGGTCCATCCATTTATTTTATCTGTTTCTTCATTATTCCTTAAATCACTATACTGGATAAATAATGTGGACACTTTAACAGGGATCCACAACACCTGTTACCCCCGAGTTGATCCATCCCTCATTATGCTGATTGTCTCCCCTGACGGCACTCGATGTCTGCTGGGCAGGAAGAAGACCTTCCCACCCAAGATGTTCTCGTGCCTCGCTGGCTTCATGGAGCCAGGTGTGTATGGCCTGTCTATGTCAGACTGCAGCATGTCACTCCAAGTTAACACTGTCAGCTGCTGTTTTGGTGTAGTGTTGTATTGAATGGGTACGGAGAGAGTACATGTTGGTTGGTCAGTAAAGTTGTTTGTATTTGGGCAGGTGAAAGTATCGAGGACACCTGTAGGAGAGAGGTGGAGGAGGAGAGCGGGATACAAGTGGGCCATGTGGAGTATCACTCCAGTCAGCCATGGCCGTTCCCTGCTGTCCTCATGCTGGGATGCATCACCCATGCCAAGACAGAAACAATCAAGGTAAAGCAGAAAGGCTGATCTGTCAGCATAGTAGTCATGACATATGTTTCTATAGTTTATGTTCCTTTTCACTTTTTCATGCTCCCACGGTCTGCATAAGGAATGGTAATGGGAGTTACTTCCTTCGATCATCTTGATGAACTTTTGATGCTCTTCCTGCAGCTTGATAATGATGATGAGCTAGAGGCTGCCCAGTGGTTCTCAAGGCCGGAGATTGTCCAGATGTTGACCCATCAGCACCCAGGTGGCCTCTTCGTTCCACCGAGACAAGCTATAGCTCACCAGCTCATCAGGACATGGGTTGGGAAGACCAGCAACCTGTAACTCATCTACACAAGGGGGGAGGAGCAAGATGGAGATTGTAGGAGCAAGAGGTGGGAGAATCTTTCCACCATCACACTGATTCACAGTCAGGGAATAATGATGAATATTATAATCATTAATTATTCTTTATCACCAATCATGCAGAATTCATTAATTTTATTGAATAATTTTAGTAGCATGTTACCATGAGTTTATGTAAATGATTCTCGGGGATCTCCTGTCTGTGATATTTATATTTATATATTCAAGAAATAAAATTTAGAACATAGAATACATCTGGATTGTTTTTAGAACATAGAATTTATCTGGGTTGTAAGTGAACAATTTAAAAAAGAATATCAAAACAATATTTGTGATTCCTGGTTTTTTTAGTTCAGTAAAAAAGGTTAACATACCACCAATGCTTGCACTTGGTGGAGGGATATCATTGTGTAATATATCGGCAGTTTTTGCACCTGGCAGTGAGATATCACTGTGTTAAGGTATGGTTAGTGCTAATGTCTGGTAGAAAGATATCACTTTGTAAATACATGGACTGTGCATGTGCCTGGCAGTGAGTTATTGATGTGTTCATATGTATGCAGTTCTTGCACCTGGTGGGTAGATAACAGTGTGTGGACATTTGGTCAGACCTTGCACCTGGTGGGTAGATAACAGTGTGTGAACATATGGTCAGTTCTTGCACCTGGTGGCTAGATAACTTTGTGTGGACATTTGGTCAGTGCTTGCACCAGGTGGGTAATTAACTGTGTGTGAACATATGGTCAGTGCTTGCACCTGGTGGGTAATTAACTGTGTGTGAACATATGGTCAGTGCTTGCACCTGGTGGGTAATTAACTGTGTGTGAACATGATTGCACCTGGTGGGTAGATAACAGTGTGTGAACATATGGTCAGTTCTTGCACCTGGTGGGTAGATACATATCAACATGCTTGCACCTAGTGGGAGGATAACAGTGTGTGAACATATGGTCAGTTCTTGCACCTGGTGGGTAGATACATGTCAACATGCTTGCACCTGGTGGGAAGATAACAGTGTGTGAACATATGGTCAGTTCTTGCACCTGGTGGGTAGATACATATCAACATGCTTGCACCTAGTGGGAGGATAACAGTGTGTGAACATATGGTCAGTTCTTGCACCTGGTGGGTAGATACATATCAACATGCTTGCACCTGGTGGGAGGATAACAGTGTGTGAACATATGGTCAGTTCTTGCACCTGGTGGGTAGATGGCAGTGTGTGAACATGACTGCAACTGGTGGAAAGATAACAGTGTGTGAACATATGGTCAGTTCTTGCACCTGATGGGTAGATACATGTCAACATGCTTGCACCTGGTGGGAAGATAACAGTGTGTGAACATATGGTCAGTTCTTGCACCTGGTGGCTAGATAACTTTGTGTGGACATTTGGTCAGTGCTTGCACCAGGTGGGTAATTAACTGTGTGTGAACATATGGTCAGTGCTTGCACCTGGTGGGTAATTAACTGTGTGTGAACATATGGTCAGTGCTTGCACCTGGTGGGAAATTAACTGTGTGTGAACATATGGTCAGTGCTTGCACCTGGTGGGTAATTAACTGTGTGTGAACATGATTGCACCTGGTGGGTAGATAACAGTGTGTGAACATGATTGCACCAGGTGGGTAGATAACAGTGTGTGAACATATGGTCAGTTCTTGCACCTGGTGGGTAGATAAATGTCAACATTCTTGCACCTGGTGGCTAGATAACAGTGTGTGAACATATGGTCAGTTCTTGCACCTGGTGGGTAGATGGCAGTGTGTGAACATGACTGCAACTGATGGGTAGATAACAGTGTGTGAACATATGGTCAGTTCTTGCACCTGGTGGGTAGATACATATCAACATGCTTGCACCTAGTGGGAGGATAACAGTGTGTGAACATATGGTCAGTTCTTGCACCTGGTGGGTAGATGGCAGTGTGTGAACATGACTGCAACTGATGGGTAGATAACAGTGTGTGAACATATGGTCAGTTCTTGCACCTGGTGGGTAGATACATATCAACATGCTTGCACCTAGTGGGAGGATAACAGTGTGTGAACATATGGTCAGTTCTTGCACCTGGTGGGTAGATACATATCAACATGCTTGCACCTGGTGGGAGGATAACAGTGTGTGAACATATGGTCAGTTCTTGCACCTGGTGGGTAGATGGCAGTGTGTGAACATGACTGCAACTGGTGGAAAGATAACAGTGTGTGAACATATGGTCAGTTCTTGCACCTGATGGGTAGATACATGTCAACATGCTTGCACCTGGTGGGAAGATAACATTGTGTGAACATATGGTCAGTTCTTGCACTTGATGGGTAGATACATGTCAACATGCTTGCACCTGGTGGCTAGATAACAGTGTGTTAACATATGGTCAGTTCTTGCACCTGATGGGTAGATACATATCAACATGCTTGCACCTGGTGGGTAGATAACAGTGTGTGAACATATGGTCAGTTCTTGCACCTGGTGGGTAGATGGCAGTGTGTGAACATATGGTCAGTTCTTGCACCTGGTGGGTAGATACATATCAACATGCTTGCACCTAGTGGGAAGATAACAGTGTGTGAACATATGGTCAGTTCTTGCACCTGGTGGGTAGATGGCAGTGTGTGAACATGACTGCAACTGATGGGTAGATAACAGTGTGTGAACATATGGTCAGTTCTTGCACCTGGTGGGTAGATACATATCAACATGCTTGCACCTGGTGGCTAGATAACAGTGTGTGAACATATGGTCAGTTCTTGCACCTGGTGGGTAGATGGCAGTGTGTGAACATGACTGCAACTGATGGGTAGATAACAGTGTGTGAACATATGGTCAGTTCTTGCACCTGGTGGGTAGATACATATCAACATGCTTGCACCTAGTGGGAGGATAACAGTGTGTGAACATATGGTCAGTTCTTGCACCTGGTGGGTAGATACATGTCAACATGCTTGCACCTGGTGGGAAGATAACAGTGTGTGAACATATGGTCAGTTCTTGCACCTGGTTGGTAGATACATATCAACATGCTTGCACCTAGTGGGAGGATAACAGTGTGTGAACATATGGTCAGTTCTTGCACCTGGTGGGTAGATACATATCAACATGCTTGCACCTGGTGGGAGGATAACAGTGTGTGAACATATGGTCAGTTCTTGCACCTGGTGGGTAGATGGCAGTGTGTGAACATGACTGCAACTGGTGGAAAGATAACAGTGTGTGAACATATGGTCAGTTCTTGCACCTGATGGGTGGATACATGTCAACATGCTTGCACCTGGTGGGAAGATAACAGTGTGTGAACATATGGTCAGTTCTTGCACTTGATGGGTAGATACATGTCAACATGCTTGCACCTGGTGGGTAGATAACAGTGTGTGAACATATGGTCAGTTCTTGCACCTGATGGGTAGATACATATCAACATTCTTGCACCTTGTGGGTAGATAACAGTGTGTGAACATATGGTCAGTTCTTGCACCTGGTGGCTAGATAACTTTGTGTGGACATTTGGTCAGTGCTTGCACCAGGTGGGTAATTAACTGTGTGTGAACATATGGTCAGTGCTTGCACCTGGTGGGTAATTAACTGTGTGTGAACATATGGTCAGTGCTTGCACCTGGTGGGAAATTAACTGTGTGTGAACATATGGTCAGTGCTTGCACCTGGTGGGTAATTAACTGTGTGTGAACATGATTGCACCTGGTGGGTAGATAACAGTGTGTGAACATGATTGCACCAGGTGGGTAGATAACAGTGTGTGAACATATGGTCAGTTCTTGCACCTGGTGGGTAGATAAATGTCAACATTCTTGCACCTGGTGGCTAGATAACAGTGTGTGAACATATGGTCAGTTCTTGCACCTGATGGATAGATACATGTCAACATGCTTGCACCTGGTGGGAAGATAACAGTGTGTGAACATATGGTCAGTTCTTGCACCTTGTTTGGTAGATACATATCAACATGCTTGCACCTGGTGGCTAGATAACAGTGTGTGAACATATGGTCAGTTCTTGCACCTGGTGGGTAGATGGCAGTGTGTGAACATGCTTGCACCTGGTGGATAGATAACAGTGTGTGAACATATGGTCAGTTCTTGCACCTGGTGGGTAGATAACAGTGTGTGAACATATGGATGGTGCTTGCACCTGGTGGGTAGATAACAGTGTGTGAACACATGGGCAGTGTTTGCACCTGGTGGGTAGATAACAGTGTGTTAACATATGGTTAGTTCTTGCACCTGGTGAGTAGATAACAGTGTGTGAACACATGGGCATTGTTTGCACCTGGCGGGTAGATAACAGTGTGTAACACATGGGCAGTGTTTGCACCTGGTGGGTAGATAACAGTGTGTTAACATATCATTATTGCTTGCACCTGGTGGGTAGATAACTGTGTCAACATGCTTGCACTTGGTGGGAAGATAACAGTGTGTTAACATATGGTCAGTGCTTGCACCTGGTGGGTAGATAACAGTGTGTGAACATATGGATGGTGCTTGCACCTGGTGGGTAGATAACAGTGTGTGAACATATGGTCAGTGCTTGCACCTGGTGGGTAGATAACAGTGTGGGAACATATGGATGCTGCTTGCACCTGGTGGGTAGATAACAGTGTGTGAACATATGGTCAGTTCTTGCACCTGGTGGGTAGATAACAGTGTGTGAATATGATTGCACCTGGTGGGTAGATAATAGTGTGTGAACATATGGTCAGTGCTTGCACCTGGAGGGTAGATAACAGTGTGTGAACATATGGTCAGTGCTTGCAGCTGGTGGGTTGATAACAGTGTGTGAACATATGGATGGTGCTTGCACGTGGTGGGTAGATAACAGTGTTAACATATCGTCAGTGCTTGCACCTGGTGGGTAGATATCTGTGTCAACATGCTTGCACCTGGTGTGAAGATAACAGTGTCAACATGCTTGCACCTGGTGGGTAGATAACAGTGTGTGAATATATTGTCAGTTCTTGCACCTGGTGGGTAGATAACAGTGTGAATATGATTGCACCTGGTGTGTAGATAATAGTGTGTGAACATATGGATGGTGCTTGCACTTGGTGGGTAGATAACAGTGTGTTAACATATGGTCAGTTCTTGCACCTGGTGGGTAGATATCTGTGTCAACATGCTTGCACCTGGTGTGAAGATAACAGTGTCAACATGCTTGCACCTGGTGGGAAGATAACAGTGTGTGAATATATGGTCAGTTCTTGCACCTGGTGGGTAGATATCTGTGTCAACATGCTTG